CCATCAATTTGTAAACTATCCAGCGATAAAGGGGTACCCCTATGCCTATGGAAACCACCATATGGAAAATCCTCCAGGCAGATCACGTTCCTAGGGAAAGCCATGGATTGAGAGGTAAACACGTGACTCCACTTGTGGGGTGTGGGAATATAATAAGTTCCTTGTCCAATCTGTTTCTGAGGTAAACACAACAAGTGTCTTCTCACAATGCTATGCTTAGCATGAATAAAGTTCTGGTATACTTGGTAATTGGGGCTCTGAACACATTACTGCTATGTTGTTGCTATGTGATTTGCAACGAGTCCCACTGTGATTAGGGAAAAAACATGTCGGAATGGCTTTGGGGTCCCTCAAGAACAGATTCGAGCCGCAAGAATGAGTCGTTCATACTAAGACTTTAGAGCATCGGTACGAGGGGTATATACTTACTCTATCCACTCTAGGATTAACCTCTGGTAAACTAACACAGCTATGGAAAATGGCCCATTTATAGATGGTTTACCTATTAGAAATGGTGATTTTCTATAGCTATGTTAAATTACCACAGGATATTATAAGCGTTTATGTATGTGCATAGCCAACATCTATTGGGGTGGATCACTATGTTCCTGGGTGATTTTTTTCCACCAAAAAACATAACAAGAACCATCAAAGCCTCCATTCTTGATGGTCAATATCCCACCATAAATCCATAAAATCACCAGAATTTCCCGTGAAATCACATCATAAATTCCCCATAAACATACCCTCTGGTAAACGTTTACAGTTTGCGACATTGAAGCCATGGCCCAGTCGAAATATAGTGGATTTACCCATTGATATCTAGCATGGTGGATCTTTCCCATGAGTTGTTGGGTACGTTTACCAGAGGGTAAATCCCATTAAATCCCAGTAAATCACCATTTTTCTTGGTGAAATCCCATTAAATCCCAGTAAATCACCATTTTTCTTGGTGAAAATCACCATTTTTAATAGGTAAACCATCTATTCAATAGGTCAAAACCCATGGTCAAAACCCATGGTTCGACGGTTCAATCCTGATTCAGCCCAACCGGCCCCAACCCCAGCGATCTCGCCCGAGTCTCTCGAGACTCGGCTTCCAACGTGGAGTCGGATCCTTCGGATCCTTCGGATCCGGATCCGGATCACCTGCCGCTATGGCTGTAACTACTAGATAGCAATGGTGGAATTTATAGAAAATATCTGGGTAAATTATAATAATTCACCAACCTGAATTAAGGCCATATTGGGATTATTTCCCTTACTAACCATCATTCCCAGTGAGGTCGCGGTGAGGTCGTTATAATTTACCCAGATAATATGATACCCTCCGGTAAACTAACATAGCTATTGAACATGGCCATAGAAATAGTTGATTTTCCCGTTAAAAATGGTGATTCTCCGTAGCTATGTTAAATTATCAGAGGGTAGTATAATATAATTTGGTAATGTATACCTAACATAATTTGGTAATGGTCATGTTATAATAATATATGTTTTGATTATATACCTATTACCCTCTGGTAATTTAACATAGCTAGGGAAAATCACCATGCTATTAATGGGAAAATCAACTATTTCTATGGCCATTGTCAATAGCTTTTTGTATGTTTACCGGAGGGTAACCAAATGATAAATATCATATCATATCACCATATGTTTGCTGGTGAAGTCATAGTGAAAACGCCGAAAAAAACATGGTTTCTGGTGGATCTAAGGAACTGCTTGGGGTGTTTTTTGTCAGCAACTTACAGAAAAACTACGCCCACCTTGTAGGATTTAAAGCAAAAAAATGGGCCCCAACTTATGGAGATTGAGCCATACTTGGTGGCGAAAATCCCACGCTGGTAAGTTTGTAACCCTGGTTTAAAAAAAAAAAAACGTGGCTTAGTCCACTTACTGAGCTTTTTTTAACTACTAAGGGGTCAACTTAGCCATCGTAAACGGGGGACGTTTCACCTTCTATGAAAGTTCAATTTGTCAATATGTTACAATCGGAATTTCCCAAAAATGCCAAATGTTAAACGGTGGTGCCTTCAGGACACCCAAACATCCAAGTTAGAATTTTATCGCGCAACCAAGTCAAGATGTAGACGTAGAAGTTGGTAAAATCCTATATGACGGTTTGCCAAAACTACTACAAAACTTCTGTCAACTATTTTTGGCAAATGGTCATATACTACAGCGGTAAATTGAACCTTTATATGAACTAAATCTTGACTTGGGGTTTACTAGCGATACTCTTGGTCTTGTCCAACCATCCCCAATCTTCAACCATTGGGCTATGAAATAATTCCCAAGTAGCTATTGACATGCATTAACTAGTAACCCAAATACACAACAATAAGATATAATAAGCCACAAATTGGAGATAGTTTAGTATTGTCTGGGCAAATTAAAATAATTATTAATAATTCACTACCTGAAATTGTTCGCCACTGATCTTCTCTTTGGCCGGCCCCCTCCCCGCAAGCAAGAAAGGATCCCACAGGCTTTGGCACCTTGCCCTGGATCCTCTAGGCTCTTCTCTGTTTCCCTGGCCAGCAAAAACCATAGGATGTGAACAGGATACATATATTAAATCACATGGGCATGTAACCAACCTTAATGGGGATCTAGTTTTAATATGGTCTCATTAAAATAACAAGGATAGGTAACTTGGTGTATTTCGCTCATAGGAACAGCTTTTTGTTCTGTAGATATATCGTTGGGTTATAAAGCCATTCTGCCAGTGGAGGCCGACAGCTCCTCAAAAAGTGAGTTTTGAGGTGATATCACCAACCCACAAATTGAGACCAATTAGACAATACCGGGTTCCGGGTACAAATAATGGGACTGAACTCAAATCTGGTGATGGTTTTAAGTTTTAACAATCTTGAAAAATATGAGTTCGTCAATGGGAAGGATATTATCCCATATATGAAATGGAAAATAAAAGCCATGTTTGAAACCACCAACCAGAAACAATTTATCAACACACACTTTTCTGTCTGCATTCAATGCCAACAAACCATGGAGTCTGATGAAATCTTCCCCATTTCAGTTGTCCCATTTCAGTTGACACCAAGCATCATTTGGAATGGCCAAAGCATCGATGTTCATCGTTTGGAGATCATAAAATTATGATATCTTCTGATTATCTTCTGTTGATATCAGTTGCTAAGCCCAGCAAATTTGAAGGTTTTCAAACACCAATGGTTTGACCCCTTGATCCCGCGAGCCCAACCACTTCTGGCGTCTGGCCAAATGCGTTTGTGAATTTTAGGGGAATTTTAAGGGGAAAAAAAAACAATATTGAATATTATTCCTATAGCTGTGGATTATGAACCACTACTTCAGCTGCTTTCCTGAAACCACGAATTCGGATGAATTCGGAATTCAGACCTGGCAGATGGCTACGGCATTGTTGACTATTTACCACCCCAAAAAAGATCAGATACATGAAAAGCCCCACAAAAATTGCGTCAGGACCCCAATGTCAGATCCCTCCGAGCAATCATCCATGAAAGCAGGCAGCCTCTTATGATTTCGGAAAATCCTCATCCAGATGAATCGATTTTTTCCCATTGACATACAGTTCCCGGGCATATCAAATATCCTTAAGACATTTTCCAAGGCCTTCAATGTTTCCAAGGGGGTGACGATATAAATTGTGTTGGATGATTGGAACACCGCATCACTACTTACCACAGCAGTTGCGGCACGGCAGCGCGCTCGGATCAAATCCTCCATCATGAAAATCAGGTGTCTCTCACAATTTTCAGGCTCAAAACCCCTGTAAATGATCTTTACATCCCGGAAATCATGGCTAAATCTGAACAACGCAGCAACCGTTTGGTTTTCCAGGATACCCATAGCTCCTTAAATCGCTCCTTCCTAACTGGATACCCTCTGGTTATGTCAAAATAGCTATTGAAAATGGCCCAATCGAAATAGGATTTATGTTGATTTACCCATTCATAGCATGGTGATTTTCTATAGTTATGTAAACGTCTACCAGAGGGTAGATGATTTATTGAAATTTCCCTGCCTGAGGTTGTCAGACAACAACTTCTCGAGGTCTTTCAGACCTGGTTGGGAAATCTCGGGCTGAAGGGTGTACTGCCATGGTATGCCATGTTTTTTGGGTAATTCAAATTTCCTATATAAATAGCAAACACTATGAAATATTTAAACAATATGGGATTGTACATTGATTGGGGTATTTTTTTGGTGATTTAATGTGATGCAAATAGCAAACATATGGGCTTTTCACTCACCAAAATGATGAATTAATGGGATATACCCAACAAACATGGTGAATTCATGGGATGCATTTTAAGCATGTTTAAGCAACAAACATGCTGATTTGCTTAAGCGATTTATAATCATTGACAACCAGGTTGACTAGGGTTTATGACGCACATATGTGTACTTTGATTTGGGTCTTTATGTGCCTTTATGGGTGTAATGAGTATAATACCTTATTTCAGCACAGCAACATACTTGAATGTGGAAGACCCATGATAAAATATCAGAAAAACGATCTAAATACAACTGGTGGACTGTCCACATCTAGCTTAAGAGGGTGAGCAACGGATTTACCGTGATTCATTGGCCAAAAAGTGGGGGACTGAAGCAGCCAGTCTGAAGCGGCGTTCCGTTCAGGCCATCTTTGTTGGTCTGAGGTGAAGTTGGCCTTTCCATGCGACTCGATGAGTGCGTCCACCTTGGACATTACTTGAATGGTGTTTCCCTTGAATACCCTCTGGTAAACTAACATAGCTATTGAAAATGACCATTTATAGTGGATTTTCCCATTAAAATAGTGATTTTCCATAGCTATGTTAGTTTACCAAAGGGTATGTGTCCTCTTCCATCCCAGACAACGTTGATAATTTATTCAGATGAGTTATAGTTAATTATAGTTCATGTAGTATTATACAATTAATAGTTGATTTGATTAACCATCCCAGATGTTATAGTTTATAATAAACATATATAATGGTTATAAGCATTTGGGATACTATGTTATGGTTAATCTATACATTATGGTAATGTTATAACTATAACTATATATACATTTATACATTACCCTGCAGTAAACTAACATAGCTATGGAAAATGGACCATTTATGAATGAATTACCTATTAAAATGGTGGTTTTCCATAGCTATGTTAGTGTACCAGAGGGTATCATACTAATGTTATGGTTAATCTATAGCCAATCAAATCACAAGACCTTTTTTTCCACGTTCGAATCCTCATAAAAAGGGAATCTGTGGAACGGTTGGGCGCTTCGCTGGTGGCCACATAAGCCATCCCAAGTAGTCATCAACCACAATAGGAGGGCTCTAAGTCCTGTCAGGTGTATACCCGGCCTGGTAAACATACCCAAAAACTCATGGGAAAGATTCACCATGCCTCCTTAATGGGTTTTTATCAACTATTTCTATGGGCCATGGCTTCTATGTCGCAAACTGTAAACGTTTACCGGGCCGGGTACCCAATCAACCAGCGCGTAGAAAACTGTTATGCGGGTTACCCCTAGCATCACCATCCCATACCATCCTGTACCATACCATCCCAACATGATTGGATTTGAGCTTCGAAATGTCAGATTATTTGGGAAAATGGGCAACTACCCAATATCATGGTGGAACCCAAATGAATATATGCATGTTTCACCCCAAACCTTTTTAATTTCTCTGGATTCTTAAGTCTTTCCTAACAATTAAAGATGCTACATAGAGATATGCCCAGTCCCAATCATCCAGATTCAAAAGAAAAATAAGAAACCCAAGGAAGTATGACACCCGATCAAATCATCAACGAAACCTCATGTATTAGTTGGAGCACGGCCTTTATCTGGCCGTGCGTTTTCGTGCACATTGGGGGGGTGGGGTGGGGTGGGGTGGTGTGGGGTGGGGTGGGGCATGTGTTAACGTTCATGTGAACTTGCTAGGTAAGTGGACTCGTCTCTGTGTGTGCCGTTATGTGCGTGTAGACATGGGTGGGGTGGGGTGGGGTGGGGCATGTGTTAACGTTCATGTGAACTTGCTAGGGAAGTGGACTCGTCTCTGTGTGTGCCGTTATGTGCGTGTAGACATGGGTGGGGTGGGGTGGGGTGGGGCATGTGTTAACGTTCATGTGAACTTGCTAGGTAAGTGGACTCGTCTCTGTGTGTGCCGTTATGTGCGTGTAGACATGGGTGGGGTGGGGTGGGGTGGGGTTGGGCATGTGGTAACGTTCATGTGAACTTGCTAGGTAAGTTTTCGGTTGCTTTTAACTGATACGTCATGCTACGCTCGCGTAAGTGCGATCAGTTTCTTTGGTTTCAACATCATTTACTTGTATGAATGCCTGTCTTTGGTTATAGTTAGCTGTTCGATGCAAGTGAAGGTCCGTTGCAAGGTCGTCTGGCAGGTTGTGCCAAATTCATCAATACATAACATGTTGAAATCCAGGTCGGTTGCAAGGTCGTCTGGCAGGCTGTGCCAACTTCATCAATACATAACATGTGGAATTACAAAAAAATGCGTTTTCGCCTAGGCGAAATACTTGTTTTTCATTTCATGCACCAGAATAAGGGGTTTCTTGTCTTTGAACTCACATCAAAACAATACAGGTCGAATTAGTTGGGGAGTTCTGAGAAACATCAAAAATGATAGTTTCGCCTAGGCGAAACGCTAGATTTTGATTTTATGCACCAGAATCAGGGTTTTTTCGCCTTTGAAATCACATCAACCAAAATCCTATTGGCACGACCACATCAAACATCATCCATGACACCCCGTTGATCACAAAAACACCACGGCCAGATAAAGGCCGTGTTCCTAGTTATATCCCATATGTTTGATGGTCAAAGTCCCCTAAAAGTGATGGCTACATCCCCAGTCAACAACAAATCAACCAGGGTTAAATGGTACCTCGCATGTCACAGCGCAGGTAACGCTGAACAGACACACCCAAGTAAACATCACTGAAGAAAATTCCACTAAATCCCACTAAATCACCATTATTCTTTGTAAATCACCAAAAAATCCAATGTAAAATCCCAATAAATAATGATGAAATCAGCATTTTTCTCGGTTAACCCACGTGCAGGATGGGGCCCCAAGATAGCATTCAGTTGCCTGATAAGTGGCTTAACTATGGTTTATGGTAGATAGGACTATAGTTAATGGTGTTTATAAACCAACTTAGAATTGGGGGCACCATCCTGTGTTGTCCCTTGCTGTTTCGTTTCGGGTTTCGTTCGTCCGTTTCGTTTCGTTTCACCTTCATCCTCATGTCCCGAAGACAGCAGCTTCCGAAGCTGAGTTAGCGCCTAACAAAAGTGTCGGGATTCCGTCGGGGAAGAGGTCAAGATATCAGGATACTTTAATGATGTATGGTTGGTTTTTTAGGGTTTTTTAACTATCAAATATGATCAATGATCATACCAACTGGTGATTTATGGTGATTTATGGTGATTTATGGTGATTTATGGTGATTTATGGTGATTTATGGTGATTTATGGTGATTTATGGTGATTTATGGTGATGGTTTGTGGATTTGATAAGCCTTCTAGTGAATACAGCACCAGATACCCTCTGGTTAATGGTAATCTAACATATCTAAGTTAATTTATAAGGGGAAAAATATTAGAGATGATAAAATACTTTATGATAGGTAATATGGTCAATATATATATATATATTATTATTATTATCATTATCATTATTATTATTGTTTTCATCATTATTAACCATTGTTAATCCACTATAATCCACTATAATGAAGGTCTTTGGATATCTATCTTTGGTGAACCCAAGGGAGTGTCGTTTAAAAAAGGTCGAACACCTGAAATCCGGACATCCCATGCGATCGGGGAATCCAGGGAATCCATGGCTACCTGAATCCTGGTAAACCAACAGAACTGGACATGGGTTTTTCATGGGATTTGACCAAGAAAAATGGTGATTTAATGGTTGTTTAATGGGATTTAATGGTGATTTAATGGTGATTTAATGGGATTTAATGGTGATTTAATGGTTGTTTAATGGGATTTAATGGTGATTTAATGGTTGTTTAATGGGATTTAATGGTGATTTAATGGTTGTTTAATGGGATTTAATGGTGATTTAATGGTGATTTAATGGGATTTAATGGGATTTAATGGTGATTTAATGGTGATTTAATGGGATTTAATGGGATTTAATGGTGATTTAATGGTGATTTAATGGGATTTAATGGGATTTAATGGTGATTTAATGGTTGTTTAATGGGATTTAATGGTGATTTAATGGTGATTTAATGGGATGTAATGGGATTTAATGGTGATTTAATGGTGATTTAATGGGATTTAATGGGATTTAATGGTGATTTAATGGTGATTTAATGGGATTTAATGGGATTTAATGGTTGTTTAATGGGATTTAATGGTGATTTAATAGTGATTTAATGGGATTTAATGGGATTTAATGGTGATTTAATGGTGATTTAATGGGATTTAATGGGATTTAATGGTGATTTAATGGTGATTTAATGGTTGTTTAACGGGATTTAATGGTGATTTAATGGTGATTTAATGGGATTTAATGGGATTTAATGGTGATTTAATGCTGATTTAATGGGATTTAATGGGATTTAATGGTGATTTAATGGTGATTTAATGGTTGTTTAATGGGATTTAATGGTGATTTAATGGTTGTTTAATGGGATTTAATGGTGATTTAATGGTGATTTAATGGGATTTAATGGGATTTAATGGTGATTTAATGGTGATTTAATGGGATTTAATGGGATTTAATGGTGATTTAATGGTTGTTTAATGGGATTTAATGGTGATTTAATGGGATTTAATGGTGATTCAATGGTGATTTAATGGGATTTAATGGGATTTCATGGGATTTACCCGGCCTGGTAAACATACAAAAACTGATGGGAAAATGACCATGCTATTTTCATGGGAAAACTCACTATTTCTATAAATGGCCATGTTCAACAGCGAACTGTAACAAATTACCAGAGGCTACATGAATCCTGGAATTTCTAGAACGGATTGATGACCATCCCCCGGTTTTGGGTGCAATTTACAAAGTTTTCACCATGGCACATATGGCAAAAAGGGTCAAAGTATGGTGATAATTGGAAGTATAAAACAGAATCTTTAGATTGGTGTACAGAAACCCCAACAAAAAGAAGCAGAAGTTAACGAAATCGGACTATTTTTGGGCTTGTTTTGACACTGCTCAAAAAATAGCGCCCCTTCAAAACGCTTCAAAAAAGCAGTGTCAAATTGAACCCTTACTTTACTTTTGGGCGGCTTACTGAAACATTCTGGTTTGGCTGCTAAGATCCAAGGTGTAGCCCGTAGTTAGTGAAGCTTGATACATGATGGTTAATATATGGTTAATATATATGGTTAATATATGGTTAATATATATGGTTAATATATGATAGTGAATCTTGATACCTGCCAATATTTCTCTGATAAAAATAGCTGCCTCTGGGACTTTCCATACAACACCATAGCAAAAGATGGTTTGTTAGTTATACTAGTTAGTATCGAACGATATCTAACCAAGGTTACCCTCTGGTAATTTGTTACATAGCTATTGAACATGGCCCAGTCGAAATAGTTGATAAAAACCCATTCACACTAGTGATTTTCCCACCAGTTTTTTGTATGTTTACCAGAGAGGTACTTTCTATTTGTAGAGGATTTCCCATCCTTCATCAGATCAATCCGCCTCTGTAGGATCCAATGACCCTGACCCCAGCAGCTTAAAGAAAAACACAACTAACATATACTAAAATGCCATCATAAGGTGTTTAATGGTGATTTAATGATGGTTAATGATGATTGATGATGGTTAATAACTGGTTGGTGGTATACCTACCTCTCTGAAAAATCATGGAGTTCGTCGTAATTGGGATGATGACATTCCATTCCCAATATGATGGGAAAGTCATAATCCAAATGTTTCAAAGCACCAAGCAGAAATCATATAAAATGCCACGAAAAATCACCATTTCTGAGATGATTTGAAGCTCTGGAGCATACCCCCACTTTGAAGCCTCCTATCTAGCAGCCCTTCTATGAGAGGAATCCTGTCATGAACCATCTTCGACCAAGTGGCTTGGTCTGTACGGAAATTTCTCCGCTTTCAACTTGGGGAACATACCCTGTTTACAACGATAGCTACCTGGAAAGATCAAGTACCCTCCGGGTCATCAAACGTGGCTGGGAAAAGCATCGACTCGATGGTGGAATTTGCCGCCACGTGCGTTTGATTCGCGGAAGGGAAGAGACATTCAGAGATGCCAATCATATTTGGGTATGGATCAATACCATCCATTTTTAAGGGAATGACCATCCATTTACCAGCTATTTTGATGTGAACTACAGGGGTACAAGGTTTTGACACACTGCCATTGAACTGTTGCTAATAACTAATAATCCTCTACCCTACTACGCAGCATTCATACCCCACACACAGCCAAATGGATAAATCCTACTAAGCCAGGGTTTCGTTTCAGAGATGTTTAATATTAGAGGAAGGGATTAGCAGAATCATGAATTCAAGTGTGTGTGTGTGTATATAAATATGTACATATATACATATATATATATATATATACGTATATATATATATACATGTATATATATGTATATACATATATATATATATATACATATATATATACGTATATATATATATATACATATATATATATACATATATATATAATATGTATAGATGTATATACGTATATATTCAACCTGAAAATAGCTGGAAAAATAGGGTTTGCTATAAGAATGATTCCCCTTACAATTCCCCTGCTGACGGAACGAAGCCTCAGTGGCTATGGGTCATTTTGCCCTGATCAAAATAGCTGGTGGTTTTTTGGTGCTCATTCCCCACAAATATCTGGGTAAATTACAATAGTTATAATAATTCACAAACCTGAATCTTGCGGCCATTTGGGGATGTTTTCCCTTATCTACTATGATTCCAGTGAGGGAGAACAGTGAGGTCGTTATAATTTACCCAGTATGGTTCATCGTAGGTCTTAAAGTTTTAACCCATCCCCGCATTGGCCAGCAAAGGTTGAGGCAAGTTACTTTCTGTTCTTCCAGATAGACGTCCTGGCTTCGTTCCATGGTCGATACAAAAAGAAACTTCAATTCAGCTGTGAAATGTGTGTGCCTCCATTTTTTCCACAGCAGATTCAAGTTGTCCAAAGTAATGTTATATTCGTTACCATTTAGGGTTGACTTTTCATCTTTGACCCCTTGACTGATACCCTCTGAAACGTGTAGAAAAGATGTGTTTTTTCCACTTTGTCACTGCTGGGAGTGGATCTCCAACATCGATGGATGAGAGAGTTGGGTGTCGAGCCAAAAGCCCATGGGTTTTTCTATGTCATTGCCATAAATTTTGCAATTTATTTGGATGAACATGTCATTTACATTTACTAACCCCCCAACTCATCCTTGATAGGTAGTCCTCTTCATATAGAGGAGACAAAAAAACCTGCTTATGGATCCAGAGTTTACCCCTTTTTTTAATCCCCAATCGCCAAGAAATCACCATCCCCATTTGAAATCTCCAATAGTGATCCCTATTGGATCACAAGTGTCTTCAATAACTGGTTGGTGGTTTCAACCATGGTGAATATGAATATGAATATATATATATATGGCCCATGTATAGGTGGTTTACCTATGAAAAATGGTGATGTTCTATATATATATATGTGGTTGGTGGTTTCAACCTACCCCTCTGAAAAATGATGGACTGAGTTCGTCAGTTGGGATGATGACATTCCCAACTGTTTCGGGAAACATCAAAGCCATGTTCCAAACCACCGACCAGCTATTGTCTTCAATAAGAATCCCCATTCAATCGCCTTTGTTCCCCATGAAAAATCCCAAGTTAAGCGCCCCAAAAAAAGAGTCCAAGGGACATGGGAAAATGAGGATCAACCAATGGAATTGAGCGAAAATGAGGATTCACCAGCGGAAAATCGGGAAAATTATGAATATATGTGTATATATATTATGATTGGCAGCACCCTGTAGCTGTTGAAGCAACTTCCAATCCAAAAGAAACCGATCACGGCACTGATGAAAATAGGAAAATTGGGGACAGTGACAACCGCCGGAGAAATGGTGTCTACTATCCAAATGTGTCCAAGGGCTGACCGCAGACCCAGCGCACAATGCTCTTTCTTTTTGTCGTTCCACCAAAATGCCGTCCACAGCAAGTGCCCTGTAATGACAGGCTTTAGATCAAAAAGATCAGGCAGCCACGCCTGTTCCAAATCCAAGTGACCCTGTCACCAACGCACAGGTCAAGGCATGAAACCCTCTTCCACCCTCAGCCAAGTCTGCTCCCTGAGCCAATGCCTATGGATGGCAAGAAGTTTGTCCAAAATGACCTGACAGGAGGTGGTGACCAAGTTGGATAATCACACTCGTCAAAAACTTTATGTTGGACAAACTTTGGCTTCAGTTTCCCTCAGACTCATCAATTGGTTGATTGGCTGCTGCGGTGTTGGCTTTCAGCCATTTGATTCGATCTCTCGTTTGCGATCTGTCTTTCAGTGTTGATTGTTCATCATGTAGCTTATACGTTCCAAGGCGCAAAGTTTCTCGTAAGAAATGGCATTGCATGGCTTTAGTGAGGCAATCAGCAAGTTGAGCCCCTGAGTGCACCCAGCGTACGCTGATTCCTTCTTGAAGCGCATCTTTAATGGCTCGTGCCACAAGCTGTACTCGAAACTCTGAACATGATGGTGGTGCAGTTCTGGTGATGAGGTCGTAAAGTGATTTACAATCCGTAATTGCTACATCATTTGTCTCATTAAAGGTGGGTACTGATACTGCAGGAACAAGATCAGTTAATGCCTTTTCAGGTTGTTTCCATTGAGTTTTGGGATTATGGATCCAAGACCAGAACAATCTTAACCAGGCTAATTGATCAAGGGCTGATGCAAGTGATGTAGTTTCTGCGGATAAAGTACTGGTTACGACCTTTTGAATCTTCTTTGAACCCCATGACAAAGGACTAATGGGACACTGAACATTTTTGGTGATCATTTGGTGGGTTCCTACAATTATCATACCAGCATGGGAATCAGGTTTTCGATGGGATGCGAAAGAAGCGTCGGAGAAAGCCATGAATCTAAAATCTTCATATGGGATAGGTCGGATTCTTATGGTGACATCATGGTACTTTTTGGCTTCATGGAGTAGTTTATTGGCTTCTAGTAGGGTCTCTATTTTGGCACTGTTGATGGATGACTGCAACTGTGACAGTCGGCTTGAGAGGTCTGGCCTGGTGTTGACGGCGGCATACTGTAAGGATCCTACCAATCCCCTGAGGGCTCCACGCTCAGTCTCTGTTACACTCAAATTTTCTTGAGACTTTCTGTTGGGTTCAATGGCAATTGCTTTGATTTTTCGGACATAGTTGCTTTGACTCATGATGATGCTATGATCTTCAGTTTGAGTGAGATCGATACCCGTGAACGTAAATGAATTTACCCTCTTTGACCCAAATGGATATTTCTTCTCAAGCTTTTGAATGACTTCATGAAACTGCTCGTTTCCTCCTCCAATGCCGTCATCGACATGTACACCAAGGATTCCTGCAAGTTTATTGGGATCTTGTTTGTCTCTGAGAACAAAGGTACATGGATCAAAAGGACTTACTTCCATTCCCAGGGATACCAGCTCATTCACTAATGTGCAGTACCACAAATAGGGTGCGTCAACCAGTCCATATGCCCCTTTGTTCAGTTTGAGGATTTCTTGATCTGTCATATTCAGTGCTTGTCGGAATTCGCTAGTTGGTTCTAATCCCATGATTCGACCCTCTTGTGGTTTGCCTTGAAGGAAGGCAGCCTTGACATCGAATGACAACATTTGCCATGCATGGGTGGCAAGTGTTTGTAGAATTAGCATTCGGGAGGTCTTGCTCAGTGTTGGTGAGTCCCGTGGAATTTCTTCAATGTTTGGATCCTGATATCCAAGTACCACCAAGCGGGCTTTTGGTTTGTGAGTTCGAAGGCTTTTATTCATGATTCCATCCTGGTTAACATCTTCAAGGGGTTTCCATGTTAAAATCCATCGACACTTGAGGATTTGCTCTTTGGGAATCTGCCCTCTTAAAACTTGAGACACCGTTTCTGTTTGAATCCAATTGGCAATTTCGGCTTGTTTGGCTTTGTTGAAAGCTGCTCTTTCTTCATGATTCAATTCTGAAAGGTGAACCTCGGTTCGTTGTTTTGCTGAGCTGGAGGTCAGGAAGACCCAAGGGTCACTGTCGCCAATGTCGTTCTGGCTGTTGAGCTCTTCCGCAGGCACTTCAAATTCACAGCGGTATGCAAGGTTCCATTGATTCATCTCATCATAGGCACTTGGACTTTCACAGCAGAGAATTTGATGTATTTCTTGGCTTGCTTCATCATCGGCTCTTGCACTTTGTTGAGATGATGGAAGGCTCACGGTGTCAGGTTCCTGATCTGGTTGGATCACTGACTCGAGATTGCTTTCGAGGCGATCACGGTTTGAAGCGGAAGCAAGGTCTCTGGGTTCTGCCCTCTCAGCGTTGCTTTCCAGGGTCATTGGTTCATCCTCATCGATGGTTGGTAATTGACTCAGCTGGTCGATTTGTCGTTGGATCATGGTTAAATCAGTGGGCAATTCTGGACCATCGGGTTGACCCTCATCTGGCAGTGATCTTCTGACATGTTCTGGTGCACTTCTATAGAGTTTTCCCCCTTGTGTGGTCCATACAGTGTTGCGTGAGTCCTGAATGATCACACGTTGGGGTCCTATCCAGCTGGGATTTTGCATTCCCTGATTTCTCCAAATCATCACCCATTGACCCTGTTCAAATTGACCGCGGTCCGGGCACGAACGGCGCAACACTGCACGCCGAAGGGCATCGCTGTTGTCAGCGCAGTGATAAGCTTTTCTGGCCATTTCACGCATTTCGAGGTGTTGCTTGAAGGCTGCTTGGGAAATATCACCTGTTTCTTGAGTGGCGCTCAAATGACTTGGTATGGATTCATCACTCAAAATTGATCCTGGGAGGCGGCTCTGTTTTCCAAATACGATAATTTCTGGTGAGTATCCATGACGTACACTGAGGGCATTCTTGGCTTGAGTGGACATATTCAATGCTTGTTGAAGATCAGTATACTCATTGATTGGTTTTTCACTATCGATTTTGGTCAACATTTCTTGAACAAACTTACCATGACGTTCGGCTTTACCCATTTGCCAATGAGATTCAGGATTGATGGAGGAACAATTGATACTAAAACGTTGGCAAAAGTTATCAAATTCTTCATTGTTGAACTCTGTTGCGGCATCTACCACCAGGTGTGTTGGTGCTCCAGCCCAGCATATCCAATGTTGGTTGATCAAGTGGATCACATCGGATGTTACCCTCGAGGGTGCGATGAAGGCCACATGAAAGTTAGTCCCAGCATCCAACATGTGAAACCAGTGAAAGGATTTCCCTTGTTTATTGGTCCATTTTACCCCGTCTAGGTAAACCTTATGATTGAAATCCATTAAGGGTTTGAGGTGGCCTGGTCTCTGATGTCGTGGTCCTGACTGCTGGGCACAAACGGAACATCGCAGTTCCCGAGCTGCGGCGATCACCTCTGGTCGATAGCCTGTGGATTGGAGTGCTTTGGCAAGACGTTCATTACTAGGATGACCCAAATTCCGATGCATAAGCTTTAATTGATGTTGTTCCCATCGGGGCAATGCTAAAAACCTCATGGACTGTTCAGGCAGTGGTCCTTGGGTGTTGACACTTTCAGTAGCATTGGGCCACTGGCTATCTCCTGGTTGAGTTTCATCAACCTGATGATCTTTGCATTCACCGTGGTGCGGGGATTGGCTCGGGTTGCCCTGTACAGGATCTTGGGATCCGCTGGCATCTGCATGGTCACTCTCCATTGGGTGTGCGGAAACATCTGCAGTAGGCAGTTCTCGGTCTTTTGCAAACATTGTGACATTCAACCGGCATGCATGATTAGGTCTCACAAGCTGCCGATGTGACAGGTGTTTCCATTTTTCCCAGTGGGTCTCAAAAGCGATCTGGCCTGATGGACGAAGGATCATTAGTGACTTTCTGAATGGTGCTTCATCAGGATGTACGCTTGTTGGCGGTGACATCGTTCGATCCGTTCCCCTACATGCTATGACATTGATGATGGCTTTATCCCCAAACATTCTCTCGTAAGTGGTTGAAGAATTTCACTGTCGGTGATTTCTATCCTACCAACTCTGGGCGTCAGCCGATTGATCCGATTGAGGATTTCCTGACAATCCTCATGACATGGCTCTACGTGCTGCTTTCCATCCAGTCTGCGGCGTTTACTCACCTGTTCAGTTTTCTTGAGAGGGTGACTCAACTCAGATTTCACAAAGGTGGTCTTTCCTCGCTGGCTGGATGAGACACGGAACGGGTCAGCAACGTATGCAGGTTCGGCAGTTGCCATGGATGTCAAAGCGATCATGCCTGACTTCCATTGGAAGGGCCATTCTCGGAGGTTCTTGCACATGCACTGGGCAATCAGCCGAGCAAACTTTCGGGGGTACACTTCAGTGAAAACAGTCCGACGGATGTTTTGACCATTCCATCGGGTTTGACCTTCTATTGGCTGATGATCATGGTTGCGTTGGCAAGTTCTTCCATGGAGGGATTTGTATAGGCTTGGACTCGTAGTTAACACTACCATCCCTTTCTTCATGAACTTACCATTTTGAGGATCTACCAAACCACCAACTTCACACAAATCAAACTGGCATGCACGAGTGTACCTATGGATCTCGGAAATTCCTGGCTGATGAAACATCAATGAACGGGCTGGCTGTTCCCAGTGAAAGTGTCGGCCCCGTTGAACCTGATGTCGGTACAGGACAATGCCAAGTGCTATTTGGTACAAAACCTGAGTTCGCTTCTCCAGGTATTCTTGTTGGCTGAGTTCACTTCGGGCAGCATTGAAATTTGACCAGGAAGACCATGGTCCACACACAGGCGAAAACCAGATATGTTTTGGTTGGTGTACAACAACCTTCTGAAACAACTTGGCTCTGTCCTTGGAACATGACAGATCCCCTTGCTCAAGGCCGAACCTGAATGCAGTGTGTCCCATCTGATGGACCTGTTGTGTCAATGGTGATCGTTCACTACAGAAAACTTCTGCTAACGTGAAAGGACGTCCAATGGGCTTGTGATGCTGTATGGCATGATTGAGTTCCTTTTGGATGGTACGAATATGTTTCCATAAAGACTGAACATCAGGATGGATCATGGTGTGACCTTCCACGGTGTCATCACAACTGACTAGGCTGCATTCTGGTTCTCCACCAACTCGGTGTTGTCCGGAAAGGCTTGACTCTCGAGGTGGTGAATGACTCGGCTGAGAGCATTCTCCATATTGAGGAGTCGGGTCTGCATCGCTTGGATGTCCGGGTCCATGGGATTCCCCGTATACCCAAGCTGGGACATCTGTGAACCTAACTCCCACTCGGCTTCCATGTCGGGCAAATGCACTGCTTCGGAGGGCACTTCGGCATGGGGCATTGCTTTGGCCTTTGGCCGCATGGATGCTCTGGGTGCCACTGGTCTTTGACTCGGTGTTCCCAATTCTTGGGGAGTCGGCTGCATTCGGGTGGGTGTGCCACTCTCCTCGTGTCGTGCTACCATGAGTTCCACATAATGAATCAACTTTCGGTGGCACAACTTCCGACTGTTGCCGTAACGGCTCACCATGAATTGGATCCAAGCTTGGTCCTTCCACGCAGTCTTGAAGCTCGCTCCCAGGTGCTTGTCGCCAAACTCCACCGTCTGATCGTGAAGATCTTCCAACCTCAGGTGGCTGATGTCTGGAAGGGCCGTCTCGTCCTCCATCTGCAGTTGCTTCAGGCGGTGACTCAGCGACATGGCCTTCCCTGTCTCGGACGTTTGACTCAGCGAGAGGGGCTTCCTTTTGGCTTAGTTCTGACACTGCTGGTGATTGGTCGTTCATGGATGGTGGCTCTTGATGATCATCTTCCGTAGTGAGGGTGTCAGCATCATGGACACCAGTGAACACATGGTTGCTTTTGGCTTTGGTGACAAACATGGAATAAAACTCTTGTGGTGGATCATGAAACTGGTTGTGGTTGGGATTTTCTTTGGATTCAACTTGATCGGTACCCTGAGCTTCAGCACTTTTGCAAGACATCATCGCAAAAGTCGATTGATCTTGGGATCCCAGTTGATCCAGCGTCGGCTTTGCCGCCATGGCTACAGGATTGATGTCAATCAAAAACAACCCTTTGGAGGATAGTTCAAGTGGAATTTCACGCTGCAACATGGGACTGCTGACGGTCTTGGTCTGGCAATTGATGATGGCTCGGAGTGCACGCAACAACGTATTGGAAACAAGGAAAGGAGTACCACCTGGAACTACCGCTATCTTTAATTTCAGGGGTCCAATCGGCAACACCAGTGCTTGAGTGCTTTGTAGAGTACCCTCATTCCCAAATTTAAAGGCTACAGCACATTTTACTCGAGTGATCTTACTTCGGATCACTTCACTCAGGCCATCAATCAACTCGGCAACATGTTGGGATCCTATCACTGTCTTTGACGCACCTGAATCCAAGATACCGTGGGTACCGTGAGTGGCAAACAAAATGCACTGCATCGGCAAGGGATTTGGTTTCGATGGCACGACAGGATCCTCTACGGTGATTGGTGTTCTTTTGACACCTTTCGCAAAATGCGACTGGCATGGCTGTTCGGTAGGGCTCGCAAAATGCGAACTTCTCATCTCTGAAACTCTCAGACCATCACTCCTGACACGGGATCGGATGCGCTCTCGGGCATGCACAAGTGCTGGGTCCTTACACATAGGATGGTAACTCACATGTGATTTCTTTCCCAAAATCAACCCCTCATGACCAACCCTATGATAACCCTGGATTCCACAGCTTACAAAACATGTCGATGGACTGGTCAGTGGCTCCTCAGCAACATCGAGAGACTCTTCAAAGTCTTCGGGCAGGTTCAAAAACTCCAGTGGCAGGCTATTCACATCTTGGTGATCGGCAGTCACATGTGTTGTGGGTGCTGTGCTGCTACCTGACATGGATGAGGCACTGGATTGAAACTGGTTTCGCATTGGACACTCGGCTTTCCAATGTCCCTTTTGGTTGCACAGTCGGCATGTCGACTGCATGATTCGCTCCTGCAGTGACCTTCGAGGTCTGGCATTCCAGTTGGGGGATGGCTTTCCCTTGTTGAAACCCTTTCCAGCCTGAAACTTGCCTTTTCCAGAACTAGCAAACGGTCGGTTTGGGAAAAACCCCCTGTTGCGAAACTTCTCAGACAACCGGTGACGTGCCTGCTGATATGATGTGAGGGCAACTGCGAGGTCTGAATCATCTTGGATGGTATCCTGGGCGGCCAACTCAAAATCACTCACTAGGAGAGCGTCAGCGTCTCCTTGTTCCACCAGCTGGTCAATGTACTCTTCTTCCGTGATGTCATCTTGAACCTGAAAGGCCTGGTCAGGTTCTTCAGCCTCCGGAATGGATTCTGAGTACAGTGCAGTCTGATCATAGATTTTGGTCCTGGCATTCTTCTTCTGATTGGTAAGGTCCATGAAGAAATTGGCTCCCAACGTTCTGATGGCTGTTGTCACGCGCTTCACTGAGAGTTTTCCATCCTGTTCTGACTCAAGGAGAACCTTCTTTCTCTCCTCGCTGGACAACAGTGATCCTCTCAGCAGTATGTAAGCCTGGAGATCTTCCAAACTCATCTTTCTCGACAACAGCCTTGACCACAAAACGTCGGCCCGGGCCAGGTAGGAGTCGTTGGCCTCGTCGGTCTTCTGCACCGTTTCAAACAGGGCTCTCTCTGCGTCCCAAGATCCCCCAAGAATGGAATCTTGCCCCAAGATCCCCCAAGAAGCTCCACCAGTCGTTGTACCGACTTTTCACTCCCATCCAACAGTTCAGCTTGATGAAGTTGCAACTTGGCAAAGGCAGATCCTTTGCAGCCAAGGATTAACCGTGTCACAAGCTCGGTTGTCTTTGCACGGGGCCAGGCTGCATAGACCAGTTCCACCTTCTGCTGATATGTCAAGAGATCATCAACTCCTGGATCAAAACTCGGCACCAGTGATGCTAGTTGATTGCTCACTCCAATGCCTGTTGCTTCACCGCCAGATGATGCGGTTGCGGACATGCTCCCCGGATGCTCCTTTGCGGAGCTCCGCTACCAGTATGATTGGCAGCACCCTGTAGCTGTTGAAGCCACTTCCAATCCAAAAGAAACCGATCACGGCACTGATGAAAATAGGAAAATTGGGGACAGTGACAACCGCCGGAGAAATGGTGTCTACTATCCAAATGTGTCCAAGGGCTGACCGCAGACCCAGCGCACAATGCTCTTTCTTTTTGTCGTTCCACCAAAATGCCGTCCACAGCAAGTGCCCTGTAATGACAGGCTTTAGATCAAAAAGATCAGGCAGCCACGCCTGTTCCAAATCCAAGTGACCCTGTCACCAACGCACAGGTCAAGGCATGAAACCCTCTTCCACCCTCAGCCAAGTCTGCTCCCTGAGCCAATGCCTATGGATGGCAAGAAGTTTGTCCAAAATGACCTGACAGGAGGTGGTGACCAAGTTGGATAATCACAATATATATATATTTATATTTATTTATATTTATATACAGTATTTATATATATATTATAATCTTAATGGAATGTGTGGTATCTAACAAATCCAAATATGTTTTTCAACCCTCCAATGGAAAACAGGACACCTCACGTTTGACCCTTTGACCCCCCACGTTGGATCTCCTGTTGCAGTGCCCGCTTCAACGTCCCAACGGAGGGGCGGCTTGAAGGTCGCGGCACTGAAGGTGCCTCTGGGGAAGTGGATGGTGATGGAAAAGAAATCAATGGCCATGACTCAGGAACCGATTTGTTGGAGGTACCTACCATATATATATATATCTTATATATCCATATATAAGGCCTATATTTTTAAGGTTGAGTTCATTAGCATTCAATGACTGATGTTGTGATTGGTTGATTTTTGGAGTTGCTCTTGCGGTTTCCGTGACGGTGAGTCCCTCCCTTGTGAACGTTGATTTTGTTGAAGCCAAGGCGAGTCAAGGCGTACACGTCGCCTAAGATCCCCCATTCATCAACCCAAGACTTAACCTTAAGTTATGTGTGTGTCAACATCTCGCTACTAAAATCAGCTACAAATCCCACTAAATCCACATGTTTCTCAGTGTTTTCTTAACATGTTCCTATGGTTTTCGTCGGGCTGGAGGCCTCACCATGGTGGTTTTACAACAACTCGTCTAACCAGCTACGTCTTCATTGGTTCACAACGGCTACTCATATCGTTACACCATGTTACACCAGAAATTCCCATAGTCCAAAGACGTTAGACGTTGGGATATCGATATCAAACATGGCTAGCTGAGAAATCCCCTGACATGTTTCGGGAAAACCATCGGGAAACCATAGGAACATGGCTGGGAAAATGAGGCTCTGTTGAGTTTTACAGTAGGGATCAGGGCGAAATTCATCAAACTTAGATGTTCCAGCCATGTTTCATGATGTCATGCATCCCAGGCCACAGATTAGTTGGGCCATGGGGTCAATTCCCCACAAGTCTCATCTTGGGTTTCTCAGGCCACCAGCAGCCAGCTAGTGTCAGTTTGGCCAATAGAGCCCTGGATATCGTGTCTTGCAACAAAGTTGAATAGAATGCTAATTGCTCTATCATCACATCTTACAAAGAATATAACATCACATGTGTAATATATGATTACATGTGTACCTTCTGGTAAACTTACAAAAAACTATGGAACATCGCCATGTTTAATGGGAAAACTCACTATAGATGGCCATTTTCAATAGCTTTTTGTATGTTTACCAGGCTGGGTATATCCTGCGGAAAAAAAAACTGCGGAAAGTCACCGAACTATAATAGCTGGGAGATGTTCCAGCAAAAAAAAAACCTTTGATTACCGGGTATCTCCCTCAATCAAAGACCATTTAAAAAAAAAACACGAAATCGCCATAAAATCTATGGTAAATCACCATTCAATCCCATTAAATCACCACGAAATCCCACTAAATCACCATGAAATCCATGGCAAACACCATGAAACCCCATTCAAACACCACTTCACCGGTGGAAAGTCGCTTCCCCGAGCACCTGAGTCCAAGCCAAATGCGGCGACACAGAGATCTCCTGCGCCGCGCCGCCAGCAGCCAGACCGGGGATGAATGGAAGAATCTTGGGATATTTCACTATGAAGTGTATGGATATATATATACATATATATATATGTATATATATATATATATATGATTATATGATTACTATTATTATATATGTATATGTATTTACATGGATATTATATGATATCATTTTCTATATATGTGGATATTTAACTATGAAGTATATGGATATTTAGCTATATGGAGAATCATATGGAGTTGTATGGATGTAACAATAACAACAGTAATAATAATAGTAATAGTAATAGTAATCATATATGGATATCTTATATACAATAATATATATATGTGGCTATTTGACTGTTAACTTGGAATTGAAATTAATTAGGTGTTTAATATTCGGGGGGTGGGATTACTTAGTTGTCATAGTTGCCCACAAGGGCCAAAATGAAGTCGTCCGCAAGTAACGTAGTAACGTCGAAGTAGTTCATGGGCTGAAACTAACCCAACAAACATAACTGGGGGGGCGTCACCTTGCGGTGTATAGGGAATTGACCATCGGAACTTGGGATTCTGATTTTTTGTTGCATCACCACCGTTTTTGTAGCTTACAATTTTGGTTCCCCCTGAAAAATGGCCTTAAAGGGGTGGTGATATTGCATCTAAATATTGGAAGTGTATCCATCTCAAAACATAGTGTGGATGGGCCAGCGAAATCCTGCAGCACCAAAAGGATGGAAGAAAGCCTATAAATAATGGGATAAACAATGGGATAAACCACCTATCAACTGGTGCAAGATTTCTTCCATCAAAGTGTGTGGGATTTTACCATCCAAGTTCGCGGCAAACCAACTGGTAGTTGAAGCAACATATGGGAAGATCCCAGTAAGGAACTGGCTAACAACACATGCATATCACTAAATATTGTAAACTATTACATCGATGTGGGTCAACAGGGTTGTACAAGTGGAGTAAAATTGGCTAAATATCCCTGGTAAAATTGCTTAAATTTCCCCCCTAAAAGTGGCTATCATTTATCTATAGTGGGCTATTTTGCAAGCCTGGGACTCCGTCTTGGTGAAATCACAACCAGAATCTTCCCTGAAAATGTGTAGCTGGTGGTTGCTTTTTAATGGGAACATTAAAAGGGGTGGTTCGGATTTGTCATGGGGGATCCCCAGACGGAAAAAAAATGGTTGTTTCATGTTGTTTCAATGCGAAAATGGTCTGACTTGGATGTTTTAGGGCTACCCTCATGACTTTGGAAACCTCCATATGAGCCATGGTCAATATTCACTATATGGTTGATGGTCATCCCATCCATAATAAGGATCCTTATAATGGTTATTATAAATCCCTATGAACCATTGGATGACTAGCCCCTATCAATGGTTATTAACCATGAGTATTGACCACAGCTCATATGGGAACAACGAGTTCCAAGAAAAATGATGTTCAAGCTGGTCAGCACCGAGAGGATTGAGCCGGAGCGCAGCGAGTTCAGTTCGAAAGTTCCCAGGCTGTCGGGCAACTGTCATGGGAACTGATGAAGCAGGGCTCAATTCCTCCCCAACTCTTGCAATTTCACCGGCTTCACCTGAGACTTTTGTTGATTGGCTGACCCCCCATGTTTAAATGAACCTGAAAATGATGCGTGGCCGTGCATCATTTTCGCCATGGTGGCAGGTTTTGACCAGGCGTCGCGGGCAGATCTTGTCCATGTGGATATATACCACCAACGAAATCAACAAACAAATTATACGATATTATACGAGCATAGGGTTTCAAATGGAAATTTAACAAATCAAATATAGTGTTTATCAACATGTGATTAATTTGCATTGGAAAATACCGCAATGAGCCTCTTCACCGGCACCCTGCGGCGCGCCATGCAGCTGTTGTCGAAGTGCCACGATCGAGAAATCATACTGTGAATATCTAGAGATGCAGGAGCTGATTCTGAACTGTCGAGTAGTCACCACCATTTTCTGGATGGCCCCAGGCAACCACTGACCCGTCGGCCAAGATCGCGGCAAATGCTCCGTACTTGGTGGCATGAACTTGCTCCACATTCCTGAGCTGATCTTGAACTGCGGAGCAGTCTCCACCAAAGCCTGGATCGCCCCAGGCAACCACAGACCCATCAGCCAAGATTGCGGCAAATGCACGGCTTGTGGCCTGAATTTCCTGCACATTCCTAAGCTGATCTTGAACTGCAGAACAGTCACCACCAAAGTCTGGATCGCCCCAGGCAACCACTAATCCATCAGCCAAGATGGCGGCAAATGCTTTACAGGTGGCCTGAATTTGCTGGACATTCCTGAGATTGTCTTGGAGTGCAGAACAATCACCGCCAAAATTTGGAGAGCCCCAGGTCACTGCTGATCCATCTGCCAAGATCGCAGCAAATGCGCCACTCCCTGTTGCCTGAATTTGTTGGACATTCTTGAGCTGATCTTGAACTGCGGAGCAGTCACCACCACAGCGTGGATTGCCCCAGGCAACCACAGATCCATCGACCAAAATAGCGGCAAATGCACTAGCTGTGGCCTGAATTCGTTCCACATTCCTGAGCTGATCTTGAACTGCGGAGCAGTCTCCACCAGAGGATGGAATGCCCCAGGCAACCACAGATCCATCGGCCAAGATCGCAGCAAATGCCGAAAATGTGGCCTGAATTTCTCGAACATTCCTAAGCTGATCTTGGAGTGCAGAACAGTCAGCACCTCGGCCCCAGCATACCACAGATCCATCCGCTAAGATTGCAGCAAATGCGCTTTCTGTGGCCTGAATTTGCTGGACTTTCCCGAGCTGATCCTTTACTGCCGAGCAGTCACCACCACAGTGTGGATGGCCCCAGACAACCACAGATCCATCGGCCAAGATCGCAGCAAACGCCTCATGTGTGGCCTGAATCTGCTGCACATTCCTAAGCTGATCTTGAACTGCGGAACAGTTGCCACCCCTGCCTGGATTGCCCCAGGTAACTACTGACCCATCAGTCAAGATTGCGGCAAAGGCGCCACCTGTCACCTGAATTTGCTCGACATTCTTGAGCTGACGTTTGACTGCACTGCAGTCAGCACCCCAGCGTGGATCGCCCCAGGTAACCACCTGGTTGCCTCCTCCGCACCACAAAGCAAATACTGAATCAGATGCAGCTATTTTCGCTGGTTGCACCACAGCCATTAGGTAGTCTCCATCTTGCACCCCTGCAGTTTGCAAGGAGTCCGTAAGGTTGGTCAGGACATTTCCACCCACAGTGACGAGTTTCAGGAAGCCCTTCTTGAAAGTTTTTTGGGCAAGAAGCTTCAAGTCCCGCACTTTGGAGTGTTCAGGGAGTGACAAAGTTTCCCCAGAACCACTCGGGAACGATACATTGACTCGAAGCATTGCAAGAAACACCTTTCTTAAAGGTCCTCTCAAGATCTACGCGTGAAAAAAACCGCCGTGCAACATCTTGAGCCGGAAGTGCCAGTGAAATCCTGCACCAGTTGGTAACTATTCCTATGAAACACTGTAAAATAATGGCATTGGTTTGCCCTGACATGTCCATTTATTGAAGTCCCCTTCAAGCCCAAGTTTTGCTCTATAGTTTCACCATGATGAATTGTGAAAGTCTCCTCTTTAATGGCTAGTATAATCCGCTATAATCATGGTCAATCTTTGGTAGTCCACACGAAATTCATCTCTTGCTGTTTATGGCTATTTTCAATTGATTGCAAAAAACTAGAAAATTACCCTGCGAACCTAAACCCTATAAATTTCTAGGGTTTAAATGTAAATACCTAGGGTTTACTCCCAAAACCTCGGGCATCCACTTAAACCCTTAAAATATGATGAAATATCACTAGACGACGGTTGGCCCGAGAGCGAAAAAGATGTGTTTCAAGCAGCTCTGAGTATGGTAGTCGTAAAAGATAGTCGGTGAATAGTTGGTGAATTTTATTGGTGAATTTTAAATGAGCTATGGAAAGACATGATGTAAAAAAGTAAAATTGATCAAGAAGAGAATATTGGGTAAAGGGCATCAGATGACATGTGTCGTGGAACCACAGAGAGAAAGAGGGGGAAGAGATAAAGAGAGAGAGAGGTCAGACGCATTTCCACACAAAGACCTTTGAGATACAAAAGAAGCTCGGCACCATGATGCCGTGGATGACCTTAGTTGCAAACAAAGGTGGGCAAACATAGTCGCAATGGAAATGCTACAAAATGCAAAAGTACACAAACAAAGGCTCCGTAAGAAACTAGAACTCCGTGCAAGAATGCTGTGAATGATAGCAAGTTCGATATCATGATGGCAAGGATAACACCTGTTTCACTGCATTTCTCCGATGTCCCTACAGGATGGGAAAAAAAAACTTTACAGACAAACAACAGTTGGCTACTGGTTTTGCATGTTCGTCACGAACAGTCTCTCCAGACGAACATACTGGTTTTGCATGTTCGTCACGAACAGTCTCTCCAGACGAACAGTGCTACAGATTAATTTGCGCCAGATGCACTCAGTGCCACCCGGTATGCAAGCCTTCCAGCTCCCACAAGCTGCTTCCAAGCAAAAGTCGGTACCATGATGCTGCAGATGTAGCATCTGGTCCATGCGTTTACATCTGAGGCAAAAAATGTATAACACACAATCCAATGCGAAGCATCTGCTCTTTCAATTCGAAACTGAAAACACGACTCCGGAGTTTGACATAGCAAATAAGCCCGGTACCATGATGCCGTGTATGACCTCACTTCCAAACAAAGGTGCGCAAACACAGCTTTGGATTGGAAATGTTTAAAAATTGGTATCCAAAAAACAACAAGTGAACGCAGTGAATGATTCCGGGCCCAAAACAAGTTCGATATCATGATGGCCTGGACGACACCCTGTTTCACTGCATTTCTCCGATGTCCCTACAGGATCGAACAATATTTACAGAGAAGCAACACTTGGCTACTCATGTAACACGTTCGCCACGAACAGTTTCCTCAGGCGAACAGTGGTGCAAATTCGTTTGTGTACGCAGTGAATGATTCCACAAAAACAAGTTCGATAGCATGATGGCATAGATAACACCTGTTGCACTCCATTTCTTCGATGTCCCTACAGGATCGAACAATTTTTACAGACAAACAACAGTTGGCTACTGATCTACCACGTTCGCCACGAACAGTTTCTCCAGGCGAACAGTGGTGCAAATCAATTTGTGCACGCCGCGCTCAGTTCCATGTGCCACTCGGCCCGCAAACCTTCCAGCTGCCACAAAGCCTCCAAGACATAGGGGCGATTGTGCCAAGGGCGCAAGGAAGGTCTTTTCTTAAGCAGCAACTGGACGGCATCCTCTGCAGGGTAGTTGTAACCCACGACGAGCCAAGCACATAAAGCCCCAGCGCTTCGATTGATGCCTCCAAAGCAATGAAAGAGCACGTGCATGGATTCGCCCCTGGTCACTGCCAGCATGGACTGTTTCCAGAGTTGGCCACAAACAATTTTCCACTGTTCCAAACAAGAAGCTACCAAGTCAGGGATTCTTTCCTCCCAACGGTGCGGCGGCTTCAATGTCGTGTCTTCCAAATGACACTTGACGTGATTGACAAAGTAAAGTCGCAATTTTTCCTCAGTTTTTGACGTCCAACGTCCATTTCGTGCGTAAGGGTTGCGATTGACAAAGTAAAGTCGCAATTTTTCCTCAGTTTTTGACGTCCAACGTCCATTTCGTGCGTAAGGGTTGCGATTGACAACTCAAAGTCGCAATTTTTCCTCAGTTTTTGATGTCCAACGTCCATTTCGTGCGAAAGGGTTGCGCGCGACACCTCAAAGTTGCAATTTTTCCTCAGTTTTTGACGTCCAACGTCCATTTCGTGCGAAAGGGTTGCGCGCGACACCTCAAAGTTGCAATTTTTCCTCAGTTTTTGACGTCCAACGTCCATTTCGTGCGAAAGGGTTGCGCGCGACACCTCAAAGTTGCAATTTTTCCTCAGTTTTTGACGTCCAACGTCCATTTCGTGCGAAAGGGTTGCGCGGGACACCTCAAAGTCGCAATTTTTCCTCAGTTTTTGACGTCCAACGTCCATTTCGTGCGAAAGGGTTGCGCGCGACCAATAAAAGTTGCAATTTTTCCTCAGTTTTTGGCGTCCAACGTCCATTTCGTGCGAAAGGGTTGCCGGCGACGCTTCAAAATCGCAATTTTACCTAGGTTTTGGACGTCCAACGTCCATTTCGTGCGAAAGGGTTGCGTTTCGTGGCGCTCCGGCGGCACCGCCCCCGCCTTAAGAGAGAATAGAAGAAGAGCGAGAAGAGATCTGCAGATGTGAAGGTGTGAAGATCTAGATCTGCAGGTGTGAGGGTGTGAAGATCTAGATCTGCAGGTGTGCGGGTGTGATGATGTAGATCTGCAGATGTGAGGGTGTGAATGATGTAGATCTGCAGATGTGAGGATGTGATGATGTAGATCTGCAGATGTGAGGGTGTGAAGATCTAGATCTGCAGGTGTGAGGGTGTGAAGATCTAGATCTGCAGGTGTGAGGGTGTGAAGATCTAGATCTGCAGATGTGAAGGTGTGAAGATCTAGATCTGCAGCTGTGAGGGTGTGAAGATCTAGATCTGCAGGTGTGAGGGTGAAGATCTAGATCTGCAGGTGTGAAGGTATGAAGATCTAGATGTCCAGATGTGAGGGTGTGAAGATCTAGATCTGCAGGTGTGAAGGTGTGAAGATCTAGATCTGCAGGTGTGAAGGTGTGAAGATCTAGATCTGCAGGTGTGAAGTTGTGAAGATCTAGATCTGCAGGTGTGAAGGTGTGAAGATCTAGATCTGCAGGTGTGAAGGTGTGAAGATGTAGTATAACGGCTGCTTTTTTACGAAGAACCCTTCGCAGGCGCTCTCGGGAATAAAATATCACAATACCCAATCCCTTGGGGTGCCACTCTGGCGCAACGTTGCACTGGATTTTTTGTGAAGCTCTGGCTCTGACGTGGGATGGGCCCAAATGGGGCCAAATGATATCCATATAGAAACTAGATTCCCAATTCAGATATATATATATATATAATCATTGTATATTCAGATCAACCCCACACAGTGCAACAGGATACCAGATCCAGTTGGTATCTACCCATCATTGTATATTGGTTTCTACCCATGAAGTTGGTTGGTGATGTAATCATCAACCAATGGACGGTTCAAACCCATTTAATCCCGTTATAAAGCCCTATTCAACTACTATAATCCCAATAGTTAGGTTTAAAAAAAATAAAATAAACTATGAATCAATGGTTATTCATCCCAATATATATATATATGTAATACATACCATGATATCCCTACTGTTTCATATAGCTAAAGCTCCCCCACCGCGTCGCCATCTCCGCACCTCACTGAGCTCCGTCCAGCGCAGGCGCTCCAGGTGAGCGCAGAAGGCCTGGACCTCCGGGCAGAAACTCGCCGGGCGACAGCAGTCCAGCACCTCCAAGGCACACATGGCGTGGGAGGAAAAACATGGCACGATTTTTGGGGGGGGACTTCCATGATTTTCCATGATTTTCCCACTTTGAAGTGAGTGACCTATAACAAAACTGGTGAGCTTCATGGGATTTCAATGGTGATTTGATGGGATTTTGATGGGATTGAACTGAATTAACCAAGGAAAAATGCTGATTTCATTGGATTTCAGAATGATCTCAGGGTGTACGACCAAGAAAACTGTAGGTTTAATGGCAGTTAATACACAAACATTGTGATTTCAAAAATTTAACGAGCCAAATGTAGGATTTCAGTGCATATAGCCAACAAATATGATGGTTTCATAATGGTTCATGGGACGTCATAATGATGTCATGGCGATTTTTGGGTGATTCAGTGGGACCAAGAAAGCGGTGATTCATATAGGACTCCGGCAACAAAAATGTGTTTTTTTAAATGGGATGGGGTGTACACTGGGGAAGGAATTGGGATGTCTTACACATTGTGCTGTTTTTGTTTGTTCAGTTATGTTCACTTCATATCATGGGACTTCACCAACACAGATATGGTGTTGGTAAAGTTTCTGGCCAAGAAAAATGGTGATTTAGTGTGATTTAACCACAAAAGTTGTGATTCAATGGGACTAAACCAACAAGAATGGTGATTTAATGGAATGGGAATATAATGAGAAAAGGAGTGAAAAATGGGGAACTTAAGGGGAATACGATGGGCATATATGGATCTAATCAACAAAAAATGATGATTTAATGAAATGCAAAACCCAAATGGATGAGTTGACCAACAAACTTACAGGGATGTTCTGAATATTTCATGGATCCATGATGTCATTTTCCAACGTGCCCTAAAATTGTTGCCAAAGCCCTGCTAACTGAGTTGGTTTATTGGTTTTTCCAACCGTAAATATCATGATTTGGGATGGTCAAACAGCTCCATTGAGGTTCCAAAACTTCCCAGCTGGGCCATGTTTGATGACACCCAGCTTAGGCTATTCAGCTATTGGGATCCCTTAAATTTCTGCTGGAAAAAAAGGGGGATACCCTCTGGTAAACTAACATAACTATGGAAAACCACCATTTATAGTTAATTTTCCCATGAAAAATTGTGATTTCCATAGTTATGTTAGTTTACCAGAGGGTAAATCAACCGGCAAAGGACCTCAATGAGTAAATCTTGTTGGCTGTATTCGCCGTATGTCCCATTAAAAAAAAAAACATACTGTAAAGTGGTGGTTGAAGCCACGGTCAAAGCGAGGTAAACCCAATCAAGAACCGTCCTCACTGGGGGTTCATCCCCCATTCTGGTTGGTTTCTGTCCCATTTTCCCATAAATCTAGGTGAATTTATTCATAATTCACCAACCTGCCTGCTCCCGAAAAAATCCTGAAATAATCACCTATTTCAATCCCATTCAATCCACAAAAAATTGGGGACTCAAACCACCATTCTTTGGGCATCGACCAGCGACTTGTTCGCCAAGTAGCAACAGCAGTCAAGTCCTGCCGCTGAATCGCCTCCAAACCTGTGCTTCAAAAGGCTGAAAAATGGAGATCCCAATAGCGTTCGATTGTTTATTGGAAACTCCCAATCTAAAAATGAATGTTTTTTTTGGGGGTACCCCCCAATTTGGGGAAACCCCCGTATGGGAAGTCAGGGTGACCACCTGGAAGCCTGGGAAGCCTGGGATTTCACATAGGAATGATAATTATGGGTAGAACTGAAGGTATAAAAAAAACCATGAATGACCATGGAAAAAATGCTGGCAATGGGTAAAAAACACCATCACTGAAATTGGGCGGAGTAGAAGGTAAATTTCTTCTAAGTAGAAGCGATACGATCGAAAATCATCCTGGAAAAGTGAATCTCCCCTTGGAGGTCCAAAACTCCCAGAGGTTAGCAGAATCCCTCTGCCTGCAGACCAGCTGAAGAGCTTTGCGCCCAAGCTCAGCAGCGCCTACATCTGAGAAGCTGATAGAAAGTCCGTGGCTTCTCCCAGTGAAACTGATGGGTTTTTTCCATGGGTTTTCATGGGTTTTTCCATGGTTTTCATGGGTGAAACCATATCTTTCTGTTACCCCCAGGGTATGTGAGCTGTTGTCGCTCCCCGGTCATAGTTCCCTCTTCTCCACCTCATCGGATCGCAGTGAAGATCTTCCCACATCTACCCTCTGGTCAACTGCCACATCGCTATATTTTCAATGGCCCAGTCGAAATAGTTGAATTACCCATCAAAATTACCATTTAAAGTTGAATTAGCTATTGAAACTAGACGACGGATGGCCCGAGAGCGTAGAGGAGCAGGGTCTTCTCTTGTTAGTATGGAGACGCAATTTTAGAAACGATATATGAAAGATGTGTTATAGGCAGTCGAGAAGAGGAGTATCAAGACAAAATAGTGAGAAGTGCAAGACAATAGTTTGCATCGTAAACACTTTTACACACAGACGCTTTTACACACAAAAGCTTTTACACACAGAAACTTTTACACACAGAAGCTTTTACACAGACGCTTTTACACACAAAGCTTTTACCCACAGAAGCTTTTACATACAGAAGCTTTTACATACAGAAGCTTTTACACACAGACGCTTCTACACAGACACTTTTACACACAGACACGTTTACACACAGACACTTTTTACACACAAACCCGTTTACACACAAAGACTTTTACACACAGAAGGTTTTACACACAAGACTTCTACACAGATGCACTTGTACACACAAACACTTTTACACACAAACATCTTTACACAGAAACGCTCGTACACACAAATCCCTTTTCCTGCGAAAGGGTTGCTCCAGGACAAGTAAAATCGCAATTTTACCTCAGTTTTTGCCGATCGACCCTCATTTCGTGCGAAAGGGTTGCTCCAGCACACGTAAAATCGCAATTTTACCTCGGTTTTTGCCGATCGACCATCATTTCGTGCGAAAGGGTTGCTCCGGCACACGTAAAATCGCAATTTTACCTCAGTTTTTGACGCTCGACCCTCATTTCGTGCGAAAGGGTTGCTCCAGGACAAGTAAAATCGCAATTTTACCTCAGTTTTTGCCGATCGACCCTCATTTCGTGCGAAAGGGTTGCTCCAGCACAAGTAAAATCGCAATTTTACCTCAGTTTTTGCCGATCGACCCTCATTTCGTGCGAAAGGGTTGCGTTTCGTGCCGTCTCGTTTGCACTGCCCCTGCCCCCGCCTTCAGAAGAGAAATAGAAAAGAAGGAGAGAGCAAGAGGGCAAGAGGGCAAGAGGGCAAGAGGAGAAGATGTGAAGATGTGAGGATGTGAAGACGTGAGAAGATGTGAGAAGATGTGAGAAGATGTGAAGATGAGAAGATGAGGAGAAGATGGGAGGATGAGAAGATGTGAAGATGAGAAGATGTGAGAAGATGTGAGAAGATGTGAAGATGAGAAGATGAGAAGAAGATGGGAGGATGAGAAGATGTGAAGATGAGAAGATGTGAAGATGAGAAGATGTGAAGATGAGAAGATGTGAAGATGAGAGGAGGATGTGAAGATGAGAGGATGTGAAGATGAGAGGATGTGAAGATGAGAGGATGTGAAGATGAGAGGATGTGAAGATGAGAAGATGTGAAGGAGGAGGATGTGAAGATGAGAGGATGTGAAGATGAGAGGATGTGAAGATGAGAGGATGTGAAGATGAGAGGATGTGAAGATGAGAGGATGTGAAGATGAGAGGATGTGAAGATGAGAGGATGTGAAGATGAGAAGATGTGAAGATGAGAGGATGTGAAGATGAGAGGATGTGAAGATGAGAAGATGTGAAGATGAGAAGATGTGAAGATGAGAAGATGTTTTTACAGACCCCCACTATTGGAAGAACCCTGCGCTCAGAAGCTCTCGGGAAAAAATGGGTAGTGGATCTTTCCCATTCGTTTTTTGTATGTTTACCAGGCCGGGTATAGCTTGGTTTACGACAAATCCCAGCCAGATCCCCAGAGGTTAAAAGCCATGGAGTCAAGCCATGTCGCCATGTGGGTCAAATTCGAAACATCACCATTTTTCTTGGCCAAAAGCTACAAAATCACCATAACTAACTTAACTAACATATAACTGTCTAGCTGAAGTCCCATGATAATCATGATACTCCAAGACAAATGCCATTGAATCATGATTTTGGATAGTTTTTAGATCCCCATGAAATCCGGCATTCAAAGGGTTGGTGAAATCCCCAAATCTTCCCATGTTCAAATCCCCATCAGATCCCAATCCTATGAACTTAGACCACCTTTTTTTCGGTCATTTTCCGAATGGCTGGGGGAAACACCACACCACGGCTTTTCCAGCGAATTTCTATGTTTATCCCATCGAATCATTCAATTTTTCACAAAAAAAAAAAAACACCATGGATTGAATCCATGGTTTTCACACGGATACATTTGCAATGAAATCTATAGGGGCTAAATAGGGGATGAACTGATGAAACCAGATACATATTTAAAATTGCTGTATCGTTTAACATGATCCATTTTGTCTGATTCAAAATGTGTAAACCACCTCCAGGTTCCAAGATTGCCAAGCCGTGACCCCCCCTCCTGTTCCAACTTGGTCTCTTGTTTCACCAGGCTCATGCAGAAGCTGCAGCCCTCCTATGCCCAGCCGTGTTTTTTCACGACGTGATTTTTCCTCTGGTTAAAGAATGGTTTGTAATGGTGAGTAATGGTTAAGAATGGCTAATAATGGTTGATAATGGACAAAAAACAATAATGGTAGGCAAATAAATGATGTTTAGAATGGCCTCTGGTTTTTTGATAAGTTGCCCGTTTATAGATATATGATATATGATTTACCTATCAAAAATGATGTTTTTGTAGCTAGAGGGAAGTCACAAATCGGATTTAATGGGAGTCCATCAACAATAATGGGAATATACATACTATGGGTACGCTCTGGTAAACTAACATAACTATGGGAAATCACCATGTTCAATGGGCAAATCCACTATAAATGGTCATGTTCAATAGCTATTTTGACAAATTACCAGAGGGTATATCAATGGGATATCTATATATATATATGAGATATGGTTATATATGTCACCAGAGGGTAAATATGGTTCTAATCCTATTTTTTCCATATCTATATTGCTAGATGGTATATCCATCTTGTGATATATGAGATATGGTTTATTGCCATCCATCCCATGGTGGGAATCCACACAGAATGGTGTATAGAATTCATCCCTGTGAAGGGATTGATGAGGGGTTCCATAGTCATGAGGGTACCCATAAAAATCGCTGGATGGTGACTATTTCCATGGGAAAATCTCAATCCAAAAATGGATGATAAATGGTATCCTCATGACTTAGGAAACCTCCATATATTCTGGGCTCATTCAAAATCCCCTAGGTTCCATTCACCTTGAATGAGGCTCCAAAGTAGGATAATTGTGGTCTTCCAAAATCTCTCCCTTATTCTTTGGTAGATATAGTAGTCCCAATCTAAAATGGTTGATGTAGGAAACCTCCAGATATTCTGGGCTTTCTCATTCAAACGATTAGATATAGTACTCCTTGGCCTTCAAAATCTGAGATACTGGTGATCTGTTGCCGCCTTCCTTCGCAACATGAGGAGATTCCGAGTATTCATCAACAGAGTTGGTGGGATGGATGAGCATGACTTAACCAGCAGCGAGATGTCAACCAACCAGCTCATAATTGTACCACCAACAAAAATAAGATATGTTTGTCTTAAAGTAAAATATTGTACCCCACACTTCCATGGTTGATCTACATGTAAAAACTAAGGTAGTCCATTTCTTTCCACACTCAAATATCATATTCAGTTGCTTATAATTCACATGGAATCCCCATGGAAATTCCCATGGAAATCACCCAGCCCAACTCTTGCTTCAATCCTCTGATAAATCACCAATTCTTTCACACAAAAAATCCCAAAATCACCATCTTCGCCACATTTTCCTGGGTTTGTTTAGTCGGTGATTCGTTATTTTCCCAATGGAAAATCCACCATGACTGGGGAATCATCTATAGTGAAGATTTCTTATTTTTTTGGGGACCCCGAATCAGAAAATCCTCATTTTTTGGCTGGTGAAATCCCCATTTTTTCCCCAAGTTTCGGCCTCCTCACCAGTCTCGCCCTTCGGTCCCGCCGCCGCGTGCGCCAGCAGCGTCACGGCGCGCGGATCCGGCGGGGCGAAGGACGGCAGGTCGAGACGCGCCTTTCATGGCAAAAAATCGGGCTCAAAATGGTGATTTACTGGTGATTTAGGGAGATTTACTGGTGATTTAGGGAGATTTACTTGTGATTTAGTGAGATTTACTGGTGATTTAGGGAGATTTACTGGTGATTTAGGGAGATTTACTGGTGATTTAGTGAGATTTGATGGTGATTTCATGGTGATTTCATGGTGGGTCACTGAAGATGATTGGGATTTCAAGGTGAGCTAATGGTGAGTTTTTATAGGATCTAATTGGATTTCAATGGTGATTTCATGGGAATATTTGGGAATTCTACCGGGATTTCATTGAACTTCACTAACAAAGTTATGGTGTTTTACATTGTATTGGTTTTGACTAGTTTTGACCACCAACTGAAATTGTGATTCAATGTGAAATATGGGTGAAGTGTTGAATTTATGGTAGATATGGCTTTTCCACTGTCGAATTCATGAGAAGATCAAACTTCAAGAGCAACTTTGTGGAACATGTGGATTTACCCATCAAAAATGGTGAATTGACGGAATCTGGATTTAACCGTGCAAGTGGTGATTTAGCCGTGAGGCACGGGGTAAATTTCCCTAAAGCCTAAAAATTATCGGAAAATCTCATATACCAGTGAGTGTTATACCAAGTGGATTCTGATATAGTATACCCCCACTGTCCCATCTTTATCTATTACTATCCCACTGTTATACCTAATGGTGATCGTCAGTTGGATTCTGATACCAAGTCTTGAGCTTTACCGTAACTATGTTCAACAACTCCCTTGGGAACCTTGGTGGTGACCATCCCAAAGACGTCAAAAAAACTCATGTTCTCAGTATCATAAATTGATATTAGTTGTCTAATAGTATTACCATCCAATGATTATCAGACAATTACTATAGATAAATGTTGAAATTATTAAATAAATTATGAATAGTAACTAGTATTATCATCGTATCTAGCAGTATTGAAGAAATTATCAATTCATTAGACAATTAATTATATCGGGTAAATAGATGGTTTTCATGTTATCATGTCATCTGCTATTCCCACTGCCACTATGTTCCCATCAAGAAAACAATTACCCTCCGGTGTCATCAAACGTGGCTTGCAGGGAAATCCACCAACTTATCTGGTTGGTGGTTGACCTACCCCTCTGAAAAATATGAAAGTCAGTTGGGATGATGACATTCCCAATATATGGAAAAATCATCCAAATGTTCCAAACCACCAACCAGTTATAGATGATTTTCCCATTAAAAACCCTCCATATTCATAGGGTATTTCCCATTGCACCTTTGATTACCAGAGGAGGTGTCCGATATCATCCTTGATAACCCCGGTTTGTGCCATAGCTTGCCATGTCTTGCCCAAGCAGCTGAAGCGATTTTGTGTGTATCACGTGTCATCCCATTGTGATCCTATTTTGACCCCGATATTATTACCCTCTGGTAAACGTTAACGGAAAACTATGGAAAATCACAATTTTTAATGGGAAAACTCACTATAAATGGTCATTTTCAATAGCTATGTTAAATTACCAGAGGGTATCTTCCAATACGACAATTCACCATGATTCGGTTTTCGACGAGAACCCATCGATACCGTCATTGCCCCCACTGTCCCATCATTATCTATTACTATCCCACTATTATCATGTAGTATTCCATGATTATCCAAAACTGACCTATTACTCCCGATTATCTAGTGTCCTTGTCGTGAACTCACTCGTTTGGAATTAGCTAGAGGATGATATGATTGTCTCACTGGGTTTTTCGCCAGTATTCCAATGAACACCCGCCATTATTCTATAACACTCACTGGGATGATAAATATATTGAATGATGAAAAATACATATCACTATCATAAGTGTGAAGTAATTACTTAATATATCATAAATTTACCCTCTGGTTATTTAACAGTTTGCTACTGAAAATGGCCCATAGAAATAGTTGATTTACCGAACTTAAAGATTGTGATTTTCCATAGCTGTGTTAGTTTACCAGAGGGTAAATCCCATTCAATCCCATTAAGTCCCAGTAAATCACCATTTTTCTTGGTGAAATTTCATTAAATCACCATTAAATGTACCATTTTTCCTATTCTCCACATTAACTAATCGCATCCCCACCTTGTTCCGGGTCCAGGGCAAGTTCTGCAGCGCGAAGCACAGCTCCTGGACCAAGGGGTCCTGGAGCGGCAAAAACCCGCCGCTGAGGCGAAAAAATGGATGGAATGGACGTTTCAACCAGAAAAATGGTGATCTAATGGGATTTAACCTAGGAAAATAGTGATTTAATGGTGATGAATTGGACATTTACCTGAAAAAAATGGTGATTAAACTGGATCTAATGGGATTTCATGGTGATTTCCATGGGAATTCATTGGAAATTCATGGGATTTCATGGTGGTTTCCATGGGAAAGTGCAGTTCTACATGTGGTGTCAGCAGAATTTTCGAATTTCACAAAGAAAAAATGGGATAATTTTCGGGAATCCCACGTGCCATCTGGTTGGTGGTTGACCTACCCCTCTGAAAAATGATGGAGCTCGTCAGTTGGGATGATGACATTCCCAATATATGCGAAAATAATCCAAATGTTCCAAACCACCAATCAGTCCATTTATAGCTGATTTTCCAGCTAGCCACTTTTGATTACCAGAGGTAACTAGCAAGGCTACTATCTACTCGTGCGGAAAAACATCCCAGCGCTTAGCAACCGTGGTGACTGTGATGCTCCCCTCCCGGTTCTACTGGCAAATCCGGCGGGTGGAAGATCGCCGATTGTCGGAGTGCGCAAGCAAAATACAATACCCTGTGGTAAACTAACATACGAGTAACTATGGGAAAATCACCATGCTATTAATGGGCAAATCAACTCTAAATTGCAATTTTCACTAGCAAACTGTTAGTTTACCAGAGGGTAAGCGTTTTCCACCACCAAACGGTAAACCTAGGCTTGCGTGATCAACCATTGTTCATACACTCCTGAAAGTTAAATGGGGGAAGCCAGAAAATGACCTGCGTTTGTGTGTCAGCCAGCTATCCATGGCTTTTCACTTGCAAATCAGTTCAAAAGTAGACAGCTACAAACAAATACTTCGAACATGCGAATATATCCTGTCATAAGCACTTATAGGCAGGTGTACACTACTAACATCTACTCAGTTCTACTTTAGGTGGTGCCCCCCAGTGATGTTAGTTGGTTTATAACCTCCAGTAACTATTTGATATATCTACCATGAACCCTATACAGTTAATCCCTTCATTACTAAACGTCCCCCAAATACTAAAAACAGGGGTCCATCTCCAATTTCGGAAAATTTCAGATTGGCCAATTTTGACTTTTAATTGATCCCCTTTAGAAAACAATTTAAAAATAAAGCTACCATTTGTGTGTTTCGCACCCTGATAACAAAAACTAGTCAACCCCGGGGTGTTTATTATTAGGGTCTGTCCAAAAATTTCTAAATTTTTATATTAGGGCTTTTAGTTTATTATTAGGGTCCGCTTCTAAATCCAATTTTTGACAATATTTTAATTGCATTATATAAGGAAATTTAATTGATTTTGAAATCGAACAAACTAGTTTTTATCATTAAGGTGTTAATTTTATTAATAGGGTCCGCTTCGAAATCCAATTTTTGGCAATATTTTAATTGCATTATATAAGGAAATTTAATTGATTTTGAAATCGGAAAAAATAGTTTTTATTATTAAGGTTTTAATTATATTAATAGGGTCCGTTTCGAAATCCAATTTTTGGCAATAGTTTAATTGCGTTATATAATGAAACTTAATTGATTTTGAACTCGGAAAAAAAATATTATTAAGTTTTTAATTTTATTAATAGGGTCCGCTTCGGTATCCAATTTTTGGCAATATTTTAATTGCATTATATAAGGAAATTTAATTGATTTTGAAATCGGATAAAATAGTTTTTAGTATTAAGGTTTTAATTTTATTAATAGGGTTCCCTAATAATAAATACCCCCCTAATACTAAAAACTACCTGAGGTGTTTATTACTGGGGGGTGTTGTATTAGAGTTATAAACCAAGTTCGCTAACGAAATGGGGCATCACCCAATCATCATTAATTTCATTGAATCGCCATATTTCGCGGGTTATATCCCCATTAAATCACCACTGAAATCACCATTAGCATATGAATCACCCATATCAGTAACAATATCTACTTAGTAATGGTGATAAGATCTAGTTACTACTAGCATATACCAACATCAATAACAAAAAAAAGTTACTATTAGATCTGAGTTCCTATAAACATTAGATCTAGTTACTATAAACAGTCTATAAACTAAGTTCCCAACATCAATAACAAAAAAAGGCTGACACCACCATTCAACTCGCTGACATGACCTCGACGTCGGCACAGCTGGTCCACAGCACTTCCGCCAGATCTCGCCGTTGCAAACGGTTGAGGCCTGCGAGGAGGGACCTGGTGGTCTGTGATAGCCATGGAAGCCATAGCCGGCCATAGCCCTAATCGAAATCGATGATTTTCCCAAACTAAACCTAACTAAACCTCCATTTATGCTTGGGATTTTCCATGGCGAACTGTTAGTCATAACCAGATGGTATATACTTATGTGTATATAGTTATATATACAGTATATAGTATATAGTAATCTACATATATATATATATATTTATATATATCAGAGTCTGTGATGCCAAAAAATGGTGGTTGGATTAAGATGTGCCAGTGAAGCTGCGTCAAAGTAGCCATCCAAAGTTTAGCCATTTAGTTGGGTGGTTGATTCAAGTTACCCTCTGGTTATTCAACGTAGCTAACTGGAAATTCACAATTAAAACAAGAGGTTCATCATCATGTTTATCATTTATTTCTATTGGCCATCTTTACCGTAGCTATGTATCAAATGACCAGAGGGTAAATCACCATTTCTCGTTGTTAAATCCCATTAAATCATCATGAAATGCCATGAAATCCCATCAAATCACCATCTTTTCTAGCTAAATGTCCAGTTCATCACCATTAAATCACGATTTTCCTGGGTTAAATCCCATAAGATCACCATTTTCCCACATTTTCCTCATATTCTGTGGCTTCAGCAGCGCCGGAGCAGCACTCCACTGCCGCCTGCGGACCACGCGAAGCCACGCACCCCACACAGCGCCGTGCATTGCCCCAACACCTGCGCGGTGAAAAAAGCGCAGCGCGCTGCGAGCTTAGCGGCCTCTGTGAATGGTAAATGGCACTTTAGTTATGGTAGTTATGGTGCCATTAATGCTAGTATGGGACTTAATAGTGATTTAATGGCACTTTAATTATGGTAGTATATGTATATAATTCCCATGATTGGGCCAGTAATGGCACTTTAGTTATGGTAGTTATGGTGTCACCTTCTATATATGGGATGACTTCATAGTGATTTAATGGGACTTAATAATGGGACTTAATGGCACTTAATAGTGATGGGCCCATGGAGTTAGGGAAAACTAGTTAGTAAATGGATTACAATTGGGATATAGGAGGTAACAAATCAGTTACTAACCATTTAGCTAATCCCATGGCCCATCTAAGTAGTATTAATGGCACTTTAATGGGAATTTAATTGGTTGGTGGTATACCTATCCCTCTGAAAAATATGAGTTCGTCAGTTGGGACGATGACATTCCTAATATGATGGAAAAATAATCCAAATGTTCCAAACCACATACCAATAATGGCACTTTAATTATGGTAGTATATGTATATAATTCCCATGATTGGGCCAGTAATGGCACTTTAATTATGATAGTTATGGTGCCATTAATGGATATCAATGCTAGTCTATATGGGAGTTCACTGGCAAAAAATGATGATTTCCATGGGATGTCACTGGTTTTTTCTTCCTGGTGATGTATTTTACGATTTAAACCAAAAAAAACTCAGGATTCAAGGGTGATTTATTCGGAGAATGGTTGAAAATCATGGTTAGATGATGGTAAATGATGGTTAATAGTGGTTGGTCATGGAAACATCACCAAGAATAATGGATGAATCATGGATAATTGTAATTACCCAACCTGGCTTTTTTGTTACATAGCGAACTGGACAATCCCAATGTTATCCATTTTTTTAATGATAAACATGATGATTTACCTATTATTTCAATGGTGATTTTCCAGTTTGCTAGGTGAAATAACCAGAGGGTATCAGCATTTTGGTGTCGGAATGTACCAACTTGGGAAAACATGGGGCTTGCTACAAATTAGAAATACCCCATCCATTTCCAGGCGACCCGTGTCATAAACCCGCGCAGTAGCAAACCATTTGGAGGCTATAATTCAGTTCCAGGGGTATACCCAATTAGAAACCAAGATTGGGGGTGGTTTATTGTTAAGGGTACATGGGTTTACCACATTCATCTGCCTGAATGATATAATTCTACATGATTTCCCCATCATATACCCATCTCCCATCCGAATCCCATGATTCTCCTTATAAAACCACGGAAATTGCTATGAAATCCCATTAAATCACATGGTTCCTATAGATAAAACCTATAGATAAAACCTATGAAATCCCATGAACTCCCATGAATTTCCATGAAATCCC